GAGAAGGGGATGAGAGAACTCAGAGTAGGTGCTGCTCCTAGATGGGGCCAAGGGACCTTCCCAGAAGTGACACCAAGCTAAGATTTGAGGGGAATGCCAGCCAAAAAAGGGAAAGGATAAGCTGTTCCATGTGAGGAAAAAACAGCACAGAAATGAGAAAGAACTTGGTAGATTCAGGAGCGCAGAATTATTCAGTGTGGTTGGGGGATTAGTGAGAGGCAAGGCCAGGTCACAAATGACCTGTGGGTCACAGCAAGAAATTTGTTGTCAGGGAGAGAGCATAAGAAGCAGCGAGTGGATTGATGCTTGGTGAGGAGAATTGGGTTTGTTCTGGATGTGTTGAGTGTTTCAGACTTCGTGGGACAGCTAAGTGACAGAGTTTAGTAGCCATTTCATGCTCTGATGTTTGGAAGAGAAGACAGTGCTAGAGGTAACGACTTAGTCAGTGGCTTCTGGGTGAAACCCTGGGCATAGACCACCCAGAGACAGTGGGTAAAGTGAGAAAAAAAATTAGGACACATCCCTCCTGGAGTCAGGGGCTATGTAGAGAATGGAAGAATCTGGCCAGACTGAGGAGGAAGGTTGAGGAAGATGAGAGGAAGCGGAGAGAGAAATGTGTCCTTAGGACTTGGGGTAGAGGAATTTTAAGGAGTGTTTTCTTCTTATAACTCCTGAGAAGGTTTGAGGTAAGGATGTGTTTGAGTCAGGAGGTCTGAATTAATGGGATCAGTGCCAATAGTTTCAGGGGAATGGTTCAGTAGCAGTTTTACAGTTTGGACCACAAAAGGGATATAAGTAGAGGAAATTTATGGGTAACCATATGCAAAATAAATTTATGAAAGGATGCAATCTTTTTTTTTTTTTTTTTTTTTTTTTGAGATGGAGTTTCACTCGTTACCCAGGCTAGAGTGCGATGGTGCGATCTCGGCTAACCGCAACCTCTGCCTTCTGAGTTCAAGCAATTCTCCTACCTCAGCCTCCCAAGTAGCTGGGACTACAGGCCGGCGCCACCATGCCCAGTTAATTTTTGTATTTTTAGTAGAGACGGGTTTCACCTTGTTGACCAGGATGGTCTCTATCTCTTGACCTCGTGATCTACCCACCTCTGCCTCCCAACGTGCTGGGATTATAGGCATCAGCCACCGTGCCTGGCCCGAAAGGATACAGTCTTTAAAATAGGTAGAGACATTTATATGCTTCCTCCCTGCATGCCAGTGGATCTGAGTTTGAGCACTTGCTCTAAAACCACTGATTAAGTCTGAAGTTCTTTGGAATGTAGATTCTTGGGCCCCAACCTAGAATTTCTGGTTGTGACACTTGAGAATTTGTGTATTTGAGAATTCAACAGGTGATTCTTGTTTTTCCTAAGGTGTGAAAACCACTGATGTAATGTTGCTCATTTTCCTTTACCCCTCATAAAATATTCAAACTACAGAAACATTGGGAGGATAGCACAATAAACACTCATATTCCATGTACCTGTAGTCACTAACTTTTTTGTTTTCCTTTTTTTTTTTTTTTTNTGAGAAAATGGCTCACTGCAGCCTCAAACTCCCAAACACAAGTGATCCCTCCCCATCTCAGCCTCCCTAGTAGCTGGGATTACAGGTGCATGCCACCATGTCTGGCTAATTTTTAAATGTTTTTGTAGAGACGGAGTCTCCCTATGTTGCCCAGGCTGGTCTCCAACTCCTAGGCTCAAGTGATCTTTCTGCCTGGGCCTCCCAAAGTGCTGGGATTACAGCCCAGCCAAAACTGGGGGTCTATATCCTTTTTTTGTTTGTTTTGTTTTGTTTTTGAGACAGGGTCTTGCTGTGTCACCCATGCTGCAGTGCAGTGGCACAATCTCATTGCAGCCTCGATTCGAGCTCCTCAACTTCCAGGGTTCAAGCCATCCTCCCACCTCAGCCTCCCGAGTAGCTGGGACTAAGAGGGTCACACCACCACACCCGGCTACTTTTTGTATTTTTTGCAGAAATGGGATTTTGCATGTCACCCAGGCTGGTCTCAAACTCGTGAGATCAAGCCATCTGCCCGCCTTGGCTTCCCAAAGTGCTGGAATTCCAGGCATGAGACACCACGGCTGGCCATAGAGCTTTTTTATCCTCCCCTGACTTCCTGTACATGTCAGGAAGGTTTCCTTTTTCACTCAGAACCATGATTTCCTGACTGTAGTGTCTGAACTTTTTTCCCCTTACAACAAATATAATGCATACTCATCAGATAAAAATCTATAAATACTGATGAGCAAAAATTATAACTAACATTTTGGGGGCTCTTGTGGGTTAGGGACTTTATATTTGTTAACTCATTGAAGACTGGCAGCAGCCTGAGGGAAGGTAGGGTTTGTGTAGACCTCATTTTGCCAGTGAGGAAAATGAGGCTTGAAGTTAAAGACTAGAGTTTTAAGCTAATAAATGGCAGAGCTGGTTTTCAAGCCAGAAATAACTCATTTATAGCGCTCTTCAAAAGCCTTTTCTATACACAAGAATGGGATCATATTGTGACCATCTTTCCATGTCAATAAATAGGCTCGGTACGGTGGCTCACTCCTCTAATCCCAGCACTTTGGGAGGCTGAGGTGAGTGGATCACAAGGTCAAGAGTTCGAGACCAGCCTGGCCAGCATGGTGAAACCCCATCTGTACTAAAAATGCAAAAATTGGCTGGGCATGGTGGCACGTGCCTGTAGTCCCAGCTATTCGAGAGGCTGAGGTAGGAGAATTGCATGAACACGGAGGTGGAGGTTGTACTGAGCTGAGATCCAGCATGGGCAACAGAATCAGACTCCATCTCAAAATAAATAAACAGACTTCAACAGCATTCTTTTTAATCCAGTGTCCTTTTGTTTTCTCTTCTCCCGGCCTTGTTCCCAGGATCGACGAGAATGTGCTAGGAGCCCAGCTGGACGTTGAGGCCGCCCATTCAGAGATCCTCAAGTACTTCCAGTCAGTCACCTCCAATCGGTGGCTCATGGTCAAAATCTTCCTCATTCTCATTGTCTTCTTCATCATCTTTGTGGTCTTCCTTGCTTGAACCTGCTCCACTCTGAGGCACTCCGTTGGGGTTTGGGACCCTCCTGGGAGGGCAAGTGGCTGATCCTGCCACCGAGCCTGTGCAGGGTGCTTGGGAGAAAGGCCCTGTTTCCCTGGAACTGCTAAGAATGGCCACTGCCCCTGATCTCCCACCCCTTGCCTCTGGCCACTCTTTCTGCCCCCACCACCCTCAGGCCCATGAAACACACAGTTCTGGATTTGGACTCTGCTGTGAAGTGACTGGAAGGGAGCAGAGGCCAGCTGGCGGCCAGCTGGGGGAGGTTGCCTCTACTAGGAGATTTTTATAAACCCTCTCCAACCTCTCCCAAAGGAAGCTTTGGCAGCAAAGGGAGATGATGCCCCTCCCCACCTTCCTGTGAGTGAAGAGAGGAAGTAAAATGTCCCAGGGACCAATTTTCTCATCTGGGTTAGGACTTGACCTCTTTCTTCCTCTTTCACCAAGTGAGGCAGGGAGCCCTGAGCCCTTCAGCTGCCTGCACAACCTCCGACATTGGCTGCTGGTGACTCTCAATCTGCCAAATGTGCTGCAGCCCATTTTCTCCCAATTACAGCAAGACTGTCATCCTCACTAGCTATGTGATCATTTCTGGGTGGGAGCGTCGAAGGGCCTAGGCAGTGAGTGGAATGAGCCCACTGCCCAGTGCCAGAACTGAAAGGGTTGGGCTAATGGCTCTGCTGGGTATCACTGCTGACACAGGCTATATTGGGCTCTGACACACAGCTGCTTCTAGGCAGGGCAGAACCGAGTGTTGCAACACTTCATTAGCATAGAAACTTCCTTTCACAGGGGAGCAGGATTTCAGAGGGGTCCTTGATTGGTGGCAACTTCCAGGACCATCTCAAGCAGTGTTTGGACCTGTTTCATATATTCCTTAAGCTAAGCAAGGCAGAAGAAGCTCTGCCTGCTGCCAGGAGTGGAAGGTGAAGAATTTGTTCCCAACTCCAGCTGAGGCTTTTGTTTCCTTCCAAGTCCCTCACCAAAACAAAGCCAATCACAGAGATTGGAGAAGACACCTGCCCAGAATACCCACCATCCAGGTGTGCTTTGTTCTTCCTGACCAAGACTCCACCACATTCTGAGGCCACTCGAGTGCCCCTGTCTCAAGTATTGCAAAGGAAGCTCAAGCTATAGAGACAGCAATCAGGGGCTGGTGCTTCTGGGGGTCTAGGAGATCCCAAGGCCCTGATACTTTAAAATGTTCTCCTTGGCATCTCCAGCAAGTTGTCTGCCACTGCTGGTGAGCTTCACTGTTGGCCCTATTGACACGATGGGTTTCTAGTAGGGAACGCCATTGATGGAAGGTCTTTAATGACAATGCTCGGCAATGCCCTGATAGATGCCGTCTCATTTGACTCAGCAACTCGCGGCGGGGCGGGTGGGGGTTGGGAGAATGCATAGAACAGAAATTCATTTATTTCACAAATATATGTTGAGTTTCTACTATGTGCCAGGCATGGTACCAAATCAAGCCCTCGAGGAAAAAAAGCTATTAATTAGTCAAGGTTCCTGCTCCCATGAAACTTACATTCTAATTCTCAACTTCGTGATTATTAATCCATCTTATAAGGGAAGAAAGCGAGGCATATAGACAAGGAGCCGAGCTGAAACTGGCTGGATTCCGGTAGGGGTCTAAGCCATCACTGCCACCTGGAGGCGCAGTCTCCATTCCTTGGAAGCCCTTCGTGCGGTCCCCTTCCCCGCTCTGAACTCTGGGCTGCAGTTGCAGCACTCTGTTCCAGCACTAACTCTGGAGGTGCCCAGGGTAGCGTCAGCGGACAAATGAAAAGGTGCGAGGACCTGCTGGCAGCCAGCCGGGGTTCCGCAAGCTCAGGCCTTGGGCGGGGCGTGCAGAGTCGGGCCCCGCCCCTCGCACGACGGGCTGAAGTGTGCGCACGCTCAGGGGCCGCGCTTTCTCCGGGCGGTGGCACCGCCCACAGCCTAGAACGTCAGCGGCGCGCGACGTGCTATGCCGAATAAATGCGGTGGCGCCCGTCGTAGGGACACTGGTCCTGAGCGCTTGGGAGCTCGGACGTTTGCCGGCGTAGCGGCCCGCGCCTGAGCCCGCCTTTGCTCTTCGCTGTGGCATGGCGGACGAGGGGAAGTCGTACAGCGGTTAGTGCTGGTCCTTGGGTCGGGAGCCGGCTATCTAGGACCCCGGGTGGGCGGCGCCGGCCTAGGCCTCAGCCCCCGAGACGTGAGGCCGCAGGGGCTCGGCGTCCGTGGGGAGCTGCGCGCGGAGGAACGGGAGCACTTGAGGTGGACACCGAGTTGTTGAACTCCTGGATTCCTGTTGGAATCCTGGTGTTGGAGGACCTGCGGCTCGGAGCGGGTGGCTTGGGGGTGGGGTGACGGGATTCCTTTGAACTTTGTGGGTGGTTGATGCCTGTCAGTTCGGTTTGGCGGCCTGACTCTTCCTTTAATGTGAGTTAGTGCCCTGCTCGTGGGCTGCCCTGGTGCCCTATTTTTTTACTGCGTCCAGTCAGTCTTGAATCCCCGGGCCTGGGTTTGGCTTAATATTTGAGACACATCAACTGGATGTTCTAGTCTGAACACTACACTGGGTGTTAGTCCTTTGTAGTAGTTAGGAGTGCGTGGCGGAGGTTGAAACCGTGAATTTAAAACTCTCGTTTTCCACCTCCTTAATGCGGAATAACAACAGTATCTGTTTCTTAAGAGTGGAGGGGGCAGGCGGGGGTAGGGGGAATGAGATCATTTCTATCAAGTGCCTGAAGCATAGTGACCGGCACTGGAGAAAGTTCTCAGTGAATGTTAGGTGCGCCTTCTGTGTACTTTTTTTCTTAGGGTTATTTGTTGAGATTCATTGTTTACAGTATCTGCATAAGGCAGACTTCTTTTGGGAGTTAGGGACCTTTTAAAGATGCCAGTCCTACACAGCATGTGTCAGAAGGTCATATTCTTGGAGAGCATTCTAGGATCCCTGGTTAAGCACCTGAGCCTGGCACTGCCACTAGATCCTGAGTGTAGAATGTCTGTCTTCTGAGTTAAAGGCCATTTCTGACCAAGGAAATGAAGAGCTCCTCACAAAACTTCAAAGTGGCAATTTGAGAACAAGGAGAATTTTTAGAGGACCCTTACATTGATCATATTTGTAACTGGCATCTGTACTGTATAGACAAAAGTACTGAGTGGCAGATTTCACGTGGCTTTCAGAGGTCTGATTTGTGTTCAGTTACACTTTTGGTTGTCACATTTCTGCATTCTGCTTCTCTCTAATTCCAGTTTCTGCTTCATTTTTCAAAAGCCCTACACAATTTTCCTATAACTTTTCCCTGATGCCTCCCTCCCACAGAGAGGGTTCTTACCGCTGGACTGGCAGTGGAGTTTGCATGGAGATGGCTTGTGTAGTTAGTATGTATTTCTTCCCATAGTGCAGAGTACTAGAAACTGTGATTGCCACACCAAGCAGGACCAGTTACTTACTCCTAATTTGTGTTCCTGTTTCTCCAGAGCACGATGATGAACGTGTTAATTTCCCTCAAAGAAGGAAGAAAGGCCGGGGTCCCTTCCGGTGGAAATATGGTGAAGGAAACCGTAGGTCTGGAAGAGGTGGTTCTAGTATTCGGTCTTCCCGCCTTGAAGAAGATGATGGAGATGTGGCAATGAGTGATGCCCAAGATGGTCCACGAGTAAGATAGTAAGTGACCAGTTGGTCTGGTTTGAATTTAGTGGCCCATGAGATTATATGGCCCTTTTATTGTCCATGTCATTTCCTTTGCAACCTGAAAGAGTGAGAAATGCCAGGAGTAGCTTAATGACTGAACAGCCTTAGTTGTAGCCCCAGCAACGGTGCAGGTAGGTCTCTGAGAAGACTTTCCTAGCATTTATGGTCATTTTATTCTCTGCTTACCCACAGCAACCCCTATACCACCCGGCCTAACCGTCGGGGTGATACGTGGCATGATCGAGATCGCATTCATGTTACCGTGCGGAGAGACAGAGCTCCTTCAGAGAGAGGAGGAGCTGGCACCAGCCAGGATGGGACCTCAAAGAACTGGTTCAAAATTACAGTGAGTTCTTGGAGAAAGTAGTTGGTGCAGTAGCGATGGGAGGCTGCACTCAGCCTGGAGATGTTTAGTTTTATTCCACAAAAATTATTCTTTTTTTTTTTTTGAGATGGAGTCTGCTCTGTCACCCAGGCTGGAGTGCAGTGGTGTGATCTCGGCGCACTGTAGCTTCCGCCTTCCGGGTTCAGGTGATTCTTCTGTTTCAGCCTTCCGAGTAGCTGGAACTATAGGCGCCCACCACTACGCCTGGCTAATTTTTGTATTTTTAGTAGAGACAAGGTTTCACCATATTAGCCAGGCTGGTCTCGAACTCCTGACCTCATGATCTGCCTGCCTCAGCCTCCCAAAGTGCTGGGATTACAGGCATGTGGTGACATCCGGACCAAAAATTATTTTTGTCAGCTGTTTACTTCACAGTCAAGCATCTATCTTTTCTCTTAGGAATCAGTATCTTCAGATACCTTAGAGCAGGTTCAGAGACGGGGAGAATGAGAAATATGAAAACTGGTTGGGGGAGGGGGTAATTCCTCTGGATGTCTTCATTTGCCTCAAGCTGAGTGTGGGGCTTCGAATCCCTGGAGTTCTCTGAGGGGCAGGCAAGGTGTAAATAATATCTTGGAACTAGCCGGGCGCGGTGGCTCACGCCTGTAATCCCAGTACTTTGGGAGGCCGAGGCGGGTGGATCACGAGGTCAAGAGATCGAGACCATCCTGGTCAACATGGTGAAACCCCGTCTCTACTAAAAATACAAAAATCAGCTGGGCATGGTGGCACGTGCCTGTAATCCCAGCTACTCAGGAGGCTGAGGCAGGAGAATTGCCTGAACCCAGGAGGCGGAGGTTGCAGTGAGCCGAGATCGCGCCATTGCACTCCAGCCTGGGTAACAAGAGCGAAACTCCGTCTCAAAAAAAATAATAATAATAATAATATCTTGGAACTGTTAGAATCAAAAATTTGATTTTTCTTTTATTTGAGGGATTATAAGTTTAAGTGGGCTGGGTACAGGGGCTCATGCCTGTGATCCCAGCACTTTGAGAGGCTGAGGCAGGGGATCACTTGAGGCTGGGAGTTTAAGACCAGTCTGGGAAATACAGCAAGACCCCTTCTCTACAGAAAATTTTAAAATTAGGGCCGGGCACGGTGGCTCAAGCCTGTAATCCCAGCACTTTGGGAGGCCGAGGCGGGTGGATCACGAGGTCAAGAGATCAAGACCATCCTGGTCAACATGGTGAAACCCCGTCTCTACTAAAACTACAAAAAATTAGCTGGGCATGGTGGCGCGTGCCTGTAGTCCCAGCTACTCAGGAGGCTGAGGCAGGAGAATTGCCTGAACCCAGGAGGCGGAGGTTGCGGTGAGCCGAGATCGCGCCATTGCACTCCAGCCTGGGTAACAAGAGTGAAACTCCGTCTCAAAAAAAAAAAAAAAAAATTTTAAAATTAGCCAGGCATGGTGGTGCATGCCTATAGCCCTCGCTACTCCAGAAGGCTGACAGGAGGATTGCTTGAGCCCAGGATATGAAGGCTGTAGTGAGCTATGCACTCCAGCCTGAGTGACAGAGTGAGGCCCTGTTACTAAAAAGAGAAAAAATAGTAAGTGTAAGTGGACAGAAAGGAGTTCACAGCTATTGCCCTTTAACTTGAGCAACAACAGGCTATACAGGCTGTATGACATGTCTAGTATTGTGCAGAAGGCACCCAACCCGAAGATCCTATGTGTGTCTCGAGTAGAAAACCTAATACTGGTCCTTTCCTTAGAATGTCTTTTAAAGTTTAGTGGAAGGCGTAAAAGGCATTGTATTGGGTCTGCTATTTAGCCTTACGTATAATTCCCTTCTTTTCTCTCCCATTTCTAGATTCCTTATGGCAAAAAGTATGACAAAGCATGGCTCCTGAGCATGATTCAGAGCAAGTGCAGTGTGCCCTTCACCCCTATTGAGGTAAGACAAGGCCTGAGTGGCTGGCTGGCTGGGCAGCAGGGATGGGCAAGGGGCTCTGGACTCCCAGTGTAACGCTCCTGTTTCCTGTTGCAGTTTCACTATGAGAATACACGGGCCCAGTTCTTTGTTGAGGACGCCAGTACTGCCTCTGCATTGAAAGCTATCAACTATAAGATTTTGGATCGGGAGAACCGAAGGGTGTGTTTAAAGGGCCTGGCTTGGCTGGAGGTGGAGGTTGGTGATCAGAGAAGGGACTGGGTCTTGGTCTTGCAGCTTAGGCTTCCCTAGAGTTTTCTGTGCCCTTTGTGTCTTCCCTCCAGATATCTATCATCATCAACTCCTCTGCTCCGCCCCCCACTATACTGAATGAACTGAAGCCAGAACAAGTAGAACAGCTAAAGGTGAGGCAGGCTCAAATTAGTTAAGTTTCCAACCCAGTCTTACCACTTCTCACACCCCCACCCCACACACACAATCCCAGTAACCACTAAACCTTTCGTCCTTTGTAGCTGATCATGAGCAAACGATATGATGGCTCCCAACAAGCCCTTGACCTCAAGGGCCTTCGTTCAGACCCAGGTATGATTGATAACAGTAGTTCTCAGAGAGGTGGTGACAGGTGGGGATCTGTCAGGGAGGGAAAGTTTGAGGATATTTTAGTGCTAACGCTGGCCTGGGCAAGACCTCTCAGTCTCCCTTTCCTTCCCTTCTTCTTGAAGATTTGGTGGCCCAGAACATTGATGTTGTCCTGAACCGCAGAAGCTGTATGGCAGCTACCCTGAGAATCATTGAAGAGAACATCCCTGAGGTAAGGCCTTTGACCCAATATTAGGCATGAGGAAGCAGGGTGGGTTAGATAGGATGTGGCTGGAGGGCAAATTTGTCTCTGATCCACTTGCTGGTGGTGCTTCCTTTAAACTCCTTTCTCCTCACAGCTGTTGTCCTTGAACTTGAGCAACAACAGGCTATACAGGCTGGATGACATGTCTAGCATTGTGCAGAAGGCACCCAACCTGAAGATCCTAAACCTTTCTGGAAATGAAGTGAGAGTTGATACCTGGGCTGTGTTTTTGACGGGGGTGGGTAGAGAGTGTGCAAGGTTTGTCTGGTGAAGGCAAGAGGCAAGAGAGAGAACTCAGGCCAGATGCGGTGGCTTTCGACTGTAATCCCAACACTTTGGGAGGCCAAGGCAGGAGGATCACTTAAGGCTAGGAATTTGCCTAGCTGCTCCAGGAGGCTGAGGTGGGAGGATTGCTTGAGCTCAGGAGTTCAAGGCTGCAGTCAGTTATGATTGTGCCATTGCATTCCAGCCTGAGCAATGTGTCTCAAAAAAATTTTTTTAATGAAAAAGGCCAGCATGATGTCACATGCCTATAGTCCTAGCTACCCAGGAGTCTGAGGTGGGAGGATCTCTTGAGTCCAGGAGTTTGAGGCTGCAGTGAACTATGATCATGCCATGGCACTGAAGCCTGGGTGACAGAGCAAGAACTCGTCTCTAAAATTAAAAAAAAAAAAGAATATCTAAAAAGATTAAACAAGAAGATCTCAGAGCAGAGCTAATGGTAGGGATTGGAGGTGTGGGGATCCAGCTGGCTCTCTTCACCACGATCTCCTCCATTTTTCCCCCCACCCTTTGCAGTTGAAGTCTGAGCGGGAGTTGGACAAGATAAAGGGGCTGAAGCTAGAAGAGCTGTGGCTCGACGGAAACTCCCTGTGTGACACCTTCCGAGACCAGTCCACCTACATCAGGTCAGTTGTAGCCTCTGTCTCCCCTCCTGGGGACCTTCACCCCCTGGGAGGCTGAGCTAATGCATCCTGACCAGTGACCGTCTGCAGGAGATGTGCAGCCCTGAGCTGGAGCCACCTATCCTTTGGGAGGATCACGTGCTCCCCACTTTGGTCTGTCTGTGTCTTCTAGCTTTGTCCTAAGATCTCCTCTCTTTACTTTTCACCTGACTCTCTTGTTTGCTGGGACTGTGGCCCTTCTTTCTCTTTGCTTCCTGAACACAGCCTTTTCTAGAATCTCCCCTATCCTGTTGTTCCAGGAAGGCAACTCCCCATTTCTACTCTGACGAGAGGGTATCTTGTACATACCCTATAGATGGGGTTGCCTTGTGCCAAGAGCCTGGTGTCCATGGGCTGAGGAAGTTCTCCCTACCTGAGATTTCCTTCTGAGATGGGCCTTCCCTCCTTGTGTACTGTGATGGCCCCTCTTGCCCTTGTGCCAAGAGGGACCCTTTTCTCAGGATCCATTTGCCCGAGGCTGTTGCCTGGGCTTTCCTGCCCATGCTGAGGTTGAGGCTTCCTAGGGGCTGGTGCCATGCAATCTGTCTCTATTGCTCAGTGCTATGACCTGGGCTCTCCCTGGAGAAGAAACCTGGGTTCCCCAAGATGTGACCGGAGCTGGGGCCTCGCCAGCAGGCGTGGGACTCCCAAGGCAGGTGCTGGGTGTGGAGGCCATGGGGGCATAGTCTACCAAGGAGACAGAGAACTGACCCCCTCGGGGGCGCTGCCTCTCCCTCACTCACACACTGCACATCACCCTGTTTGGCCCCAGTGGATGGCTGGTTAGCCAGAGACGGGTAAGATTCCTCAGGGAAGGAACAACCTAAGACAGGCACAGTCGCAGAGGGGCCATCAGGAGAGAACTTGAAGGCAACAGAGGTGAGGCACAGACCCTCACCCCCACAACCATGCAGGGTCCTGAACCCTTACACCTTCTGAGGGAGGTCTCCTGCCCCCATGGCTGCTTTGCTTCCCACGCCCAGCTCAGATCGGGACCCAGGTAGCAGACAGAGACCTGGCCAGCAGCAAGTGCCTACTCGCCACAGCAAGGATTTGTTTCTCATTTCTAACTTGGACCACAGGGATGGGGCAGCTGAAAGAAAGGGCTGTGTCAGGCTGTCTTTCTCCCTTTTCTCCATCGTTTTTCTAGATGCGTTCTTGCCTTGTAGTTCTTTCCCTTTTTCTTTGCTTTCTCTTGCCTTTTCCTCTCTATCTCCCATACCTCCCCCATCTCTCCCTTGCCCCTGTCCCTGCCCCATCCTGCCTTTTTCTCTTTTTCCACCTTTTCCTTTCCTTTCTTATTCCTTTGCCTCTCAATTCCTGAGCCCCACCTGCTCATCTCCCTGCCCCAACATCCTGTGCCATCCCTGTGGTGTGTTTGGGTCTTGGCCAAGGCCAGACCTGGCAGAACTGATGGATACCTGGTGAGGCAGCGGAGCCCCTGGGCTCCCACCCCATTCCCTCCTCCCGGGGCTGCACAGGTGAGTAGGTGGAAGGTAAGGGGGGCAGGGAGGGGAAGGAGGTCCTGGCTTAAAGCCTGGGCTTGGAGTGCTGTTCGTTGTGGCACTCAGAGTCATGCAGAGAGAAAAGAGACAGCCTTGAAGGCAGTCCGTGTCTGGGTGCCCCAGGTCAGGTGGGGAGTGGGGGCCATTTTTTCCTGAGCGCAGGCTGGGAAGGAGTGGAGGGATGAGCAGGATGGGATGGGCTGTCCCTTGGGTTTGGTATATTTGCTCCTAGAGCAGCCCAGGAGGCACGGTGGCTCTGAAGCGTCACTCACTTCTGTCCCGTTCTTGACAGCGCCATTCGTGAACGATTTCCCAAGTTATTACGCCTGGTAAGTCTATAATTTTTTTCATTCTAACAAGCACAGCATCTCTCGCTCACAAGGATTCCTGCATACTTTTTTCATTTTTTGAGACGGAGTCTCGCCCTGTCACCCAGGCTGTAGTGCAACTGATTTCAGCTGACAGCAACTTCCTCCTCCCAGGTTCAAGTGATTCTCCTGCCTCAGCCTCCCAATAGCTGGGATTACAGGCACTGCCACGCTTGTCTAATTTTCATATTTTTGGTAGAGATGGGGTTTCACCATGTTGGCCAGGCTGGCCTCGAACTCCTGACTTCAGGTGATCTACCCACCTCAGCCTCCCAAAGTGCCGGGATTACAGGATTACAGGTATAAGCCACTGCACCCTGCCCTTTTTTCCTTTTTTTTTTTTTTTTAAGCAGAGTCTTGTTCTGTTGCCCAGAGTGCAGTGGTGCGACCTCGACTCACTGCAACCTCTGCCTCCTGGGCTCAAGCAAGTCTTCTGCCTCAGCCTCCCAAGTAGCTGGGATTACAGGCATGTGCCAAGACGCCTGGCTGATTTTATTTAGTTTGGTTTGTTTTTTTGAGATGGAGTCTTGCTTTTGTTGCCCAGGCTGCAGTGCAGTGGCGTGATCTCGGCTCACTGCAACCTCCGCCTTCCGGGTTCAAGGGATTCTCCTTCCTTAGCCTCCCGAGTAGCTGGGATTACAAGTGCCTGCCACATGCCTGGCTAATTTTTTGTATTTTTAATAGAGATGAGGTTTTGCCATGTTGGTCAGGTTGGTTTTGAACTCTCGACCTCAGGTGATCTGCCCGCGTCGGCCTTCCAAAGTGCTGAGATTACAGGTGTGAACCACTGTGCCCAGCCTCTGTATTTTTAGTAGGGAGTGGGGGCCATTTTTCCCTGAGCCCAGGCTGGTGAAACAACATAGTGTTTTACTGTGTTGGCCAGGCTGGTCTTGAACTCCTGACCTCAAGTGATCCACTTACCTCAGCCTCCCAATGTGCTGGGATTATAGGTGTGAGCCACCACCCCTGGCCTGGATTCCTGGATACTTTTCATGACCCTTTTACACTTGACTTTTGACCCCTCTCTCCTAGTTCTTCATTCTACTTATGCATCCAGTCTTTTTCTCTCATGTTTGCACTGACAACTTTCTTTTTGTTTGTTTTGTTTTTTGAGATAGGATCTGGCTCTGTTGTCCAGGCTGGAGTGCAGTGCTACAATCTTAGCTTTTACTGTAACCTCCACCTGCCAGGCTCAAGTGATCCTCCCACTTCAGCCTTCCAAGTAGTTGGAATACAGGCATGCACCACCATGCCTAGATGATTTTTGTAATTTTGATAGAGATGGGATTTTGCCATGTTGCCCAGGCTGGTCTCGAACTTCTGGGCCGAAGCTATCCTCCTGCCTCAGCCTCCCAAAGTTCTGAGATCACAGCTGTGAGCCACTGTGCCCAGTCTACAATGTCAACTTTTACTTCTTTCCACAGGATGGCCATGAGCTACCCCCACCAATTGCCTTTGATATTGAACCCCCCACGACGTTACCGCCCTGTAAGGTAGGAAGCACAGACAGAGTAAGAACTTGTGTGTGGAGGGAATACTGCTTCCATGGTCCTAATACCTGTTTGATTCCAGGGAAGCTATTTTGGAACAGAAAACTTGAAGAGTCTGGTCCTGCACTTCCTACAGCAGTAAGTATCCCAGGAACCCCGTCTCCACAGCCCAAGGTTGGGGAAAGTTGGGGAGACCCAAGCACACCTCACTCTCTTTTCGTTTTTTTTTTTTTTTTTTTTTTGACAGAGTCTCGCTCTATTGCCTTAGCTGGAGTGCAGTGGCATAATCTTGGCTCACTGCAACCTCTACCTTCTAGATTCAAGAGGTTCTTCTGTCTCAGCCTCTCCGTAGCTGGGATTACAGGTGACTGTCACCACGCCCAGCTAATTTTTTTTTTCTTTTTTTTGAGTTGGAGTCTCACTCTGTCACCCAGGTTGGAGTGCAATGGCATGATCTCGGCTTGCTGCAATCTCTGCCTCCTGGGTTAGAGTGATTCTCCTGCTTCAGCCTCCTGAGTAGCTGGGATTACAGGCGCCCACCACCATGTCTGGCTGATTTTTTGTATTTTTAGTAGAGATGGGGTTTTGCCACATTGGCCAGCTTGGTCTCGAACTCCTTATCTTAGGTAATCCACCCGCCTCTGCCTCCCAAAGTGCTAGCATTACAGGCATGAGCCACCCTGCTCAGCCATTTTTTTGGAATTTTAGTAGAGACAGGGTTTCACCATGTTGCCCAGGCTGGTCTCAAACTCCTGGGCTCAAGCAATTCACCCGCCTCGGCCTCCTAAAGTAGTGGGATTACAGGAATGAGCCACTGTGCTCAGCCACAGCTTCCTTTTGGGAGGTACTGGGTCCTGCCGTGGCTCTAGACCACAGAGTCTATACCTTCTCATTTGTTTTTCCCACAGGTACTATGCTATTTATGACTCTGGAGACCGGCAAGGGCTCCTAGATGCCTACCATGATGGGGCCTGTTGTTCCCTGAGCATTCCTTTCATTCCTCAAAACCCTGCCCGGTGAGTATCACATCCCAGAATCTTCCTGGGACCACAGGGTTTCCCAGCAGGTACAGGGCAACACTTGCTGCAGCACTGCCCTGAACACCGTGTCCATTCCTCTTATTCCCCCAGAAGCAACTTGGCTGAGTATTTCAAGGATAGCAGAAATGTGAAGAAGCTTAAAGACCCTAGTAAGTGTGTGATGTGAACAAAACAGGATGGGAAAAGGGAATGGGAAGGAATCAATCATAAAACTAACGAGTATGTGGCAGCCCCGCTGAGCTTTCTCCACCCACAGCCTTGCGGTTCCGGCTATTGAAGCACACGCGTCTCAACGTTGTTGCCTTCCTCAACGAATTGCCCAAAACCCAGCACGACGTCAATTCCTTTGTGGTAGACATAAGCGCCCAGACTGTAAGTTCCTGCTTGTGCCCTGACAGAAGCCTAGAATTGGGGTGGGGGTGGCATTTAATAGGCAAGGTTGGGGTGTGCTCAGAAGTCTACATTGTACCTGATGCTGCTTCTCTTTCAGAGCACACTGCTGTGTTTTTCTGTCAATGGGGTCTTCAAGGAAGGTAAGAATCTTTAAAGTCCTGAGTTTGTAGCATGGTACCACCCTCAGCTGGAATGTTCCTCAGCACTCTTAGCTTCCCAGCTACTTTTTCTCCCATTTTCTTTTTGAACTCCTTCTCCCATTTTGCCTCCAAGCCATCTTGGCTTGGCCTCCCTCTCTGCCTGTCCTATCAGGATATTGGAAAAGCCTGGGGATTAGGAAGACTGGAGTCAGGCAGTTCTTAGTTTCCATCCCAGTTTTGGTTGTGTGGGGCTGTGGACAAGTAACATTACCTCTAAGACTTAGTTTATTTATTTGTAAGATGGGTAATAGCCATCTCAGAGTGGTGCTTTAGGAAGTAAAGTGAAATAACTTACAAAGTGCTTGGCCTTGGGCCTGGCACACAGATGATATCAGTGGGTTAGTAGTTATTACTATTACTGTCCTCTCTGCCAGACCCTTCACCCCACCTCTACTTCCCTTATACATTTAATCATCCCTGTCTGGCCCGCTAGTATTCCTTGTATCAAATAAGACCATGATTCAAGAAGCTGTTTATAAACATAAACCACTAGCGACCCTAAGGTGTCGTTACTATTGTTCTCATTGCAGTGGATGGAAAGTCCCGAGATTCTTTGCGAGCCTTCACCCGGACATTCATTGCTGTTCCTGCTACCAATTCAGGGTAAATATTCTGCTTTTCACATTGGATACCAGTCCTAATCCATGGCCAACAGTGTGGTAATTGGAGAGTAGAGTCAGTCAGTCTTCGGGGTGCTTTCAGAAAGGCAACAGGAAATCAGGGAAAGCTCACATAGCTAGTTAGGAGCATGGCTCTGGAATCGTACCATTTGGGTTTTCATCCTGGCTCCACCACTTCTAGCAAGTAGGCTGCTGCCTCATCTGAAAGTTCATATAACAATATTCACTTCCTAAGTTTGTTGTGAAGATAAAGGGCTAAGAACTGTTCATGTGTTGGGAGAACTCTAGTGTGTTTGGTAGATAATCCTTCCAAACATGGATTCCATGGGAGGAGATAAATGATAAAAGGGAACAATAGCTAAGAGTGGGAGGGGAACCTTGTGAATACTGAAGGAATCTGAGAATAGGAATGATGTTGGGGGATGACATTATATATCTGTCCAGCTTTTTAAGTGCTTTTTGTTCTCAAGGCTGTGTATTGTAAACGACGAGCTATTTGTGCGGAATGCAAGTTCTGAAGAGATCCAAAGAGCCTTCGCTATGCCTGCACCCACGCCTTCCTCCAGCCCAGTACCCACCCTCTCTCCAGAGCAGCAAGAAATGTTGCAGGCATTCTCTACCCAGTCTGGCATGAACCTCGAGTGGTCCCAGAAGTGAGTGTTGGGCATGTGTAGGGTGGGGATGAACTGAACTGAAGTAGGAGTAGTCGTGAATAATGAGAGCTCCTGACAGGTGGTTTTTTTTTCTTTTTTTATTAGAGACAAGGTCTTGCTCTGTCATCCAGGCTGGAGTGTAGTGGTGATCATAACTCACTGTAACCTCTAAATCCTGGGCACAAGTTCCTCTCCAGGGTAGCTGGAACTACAGGCATATGCCAGCATACCCAGCTTTTTTTTTTTTTTTTTTTTTAAAGAG